TATGCTAGGTTCATTCATATATATATACCGGGTATCTCAAATATTTTCCCCTAATGTTGCCACGTGTCCGATACGAACGTTGATTTTCAGAAAGAAATTATAAAAACTGGATGTAAAGAGAAGTAATATTTTTCTCAAAATAAGAAGAAATAATCTGTATCCACTGCACTACTCGGATTACACGCATGCTGACTGCTAAGTAAATAAAATGCGAGGGTGACCAGTAAGTCACTGAATTATTAATGTTAACTCTGCTGTCAAATCAAGAATGAGTGCAATACAATGGTGCATGATGAGGAGTGTTAGATTTAGATTGCATCACAATTGCCCACTAGATAACTAATAGTTAGGATTAAAAGCAATAGTCTCTCTCTGCTACATTTTTTTTAGTGGAGAAGATCCAAATTCCTTATTTTTATCTTATCAACTTATCAAGCCATCTGATATCTACCAAATTAACCAATTAGACTACAGAGCTTTTACCGGTAAAGTTTTAGCTCCATACTAAATGAAGTTAATTTGTTGGATTACGGAACATCTCAGATTTAAAATCAGTTATAACCTTGTCATTACCGTCCGTATGTACAATGAAAGTGAAGTTAAATAAAGATCGACTTAAATAAAATCAGCTATATTTCTCTTCATTGTATGATACAATTTGTATGTCTTTACTAATGAAAAAACGTAAGGACAAATTTTCAAAACCGATATGAGTCGACTGACGGGTTGATGAGTTGACTGACGGTTGATGAAGCGATACGGCGGAGCACAGGAATATCTTGAGAATAGTGGTGTGAAGCGATACGGCGGAGCACAGGAATATCTTGAGAATAGATGATCCTCATGATATCTTGAGAATAGTGGTGTGAAGCGATACGGCGGAGCACAGGAAGGAGCATGAAGCGAGTGGAAGAACGAAGAATCAAAGATTTCAGTTCTCAGCCTAATGAGTCGACTGACGGTTGATGAGTCGACTGACGGGTTGATGAGTCGACTTAAGAAAACACCTCCAGATAGCAAAATGCTTCTGCTGAGTCGACTCATGAAAATCATGAGTCGACTCATGCAGGCCAGCACAGTTTGTGCATATTTTGAGTCGACCATGAGTCGACTGGTGATCATGAGTCGACTCATCTCAGTCATGAGTTGACTCATCGAGGTTTCCTGGGCAGACTTGGTTTCTATTTTGAAGGAATTCTAGTTTGGTTTGATTTTGGTTATTTACCAGATTGCCACCACGTTGTAAACCCTATAAATAAGGACTGTTAGGGTTCTAAACAGGGAGGGAAAAAAGGTCAAGATGTAGATCTAAAGGGTTTTAGGTCTAAGTGAGATCCTGATCAAAAGGATTAGGGTTTAGATTGTGAGGATCTATGAGATCTTAGATCAGAGAGAGATTCTAATAGTTGTATTAGGGTTTAGAGAGGATTGAGAGGTTGTTCTCGATTCTAGTGAGATTGTGAGGGGGAGATTGTAATATTTTGTTCTTCATAATCTAGAGAAGATATTTTCCTTCGCCATACTGAATTGTCTTGTGTTTCTGTCATCCTCTTCTCAACCCACCTTTTGGTAATTCCGTGACCAAAGGGTGCTCGCACGGCGACTCGTATCACCGTAACCTTAACGATCAATGCATAACATTTACAACCAACCATTATCCTTAACAACGAATATTCTAAAAATACGAAAAGAATAAAAAACAAAAATAATAAAATAATAATCCTCTTTAATCATTTCAATATCATCAAAGTAACATCATGATAGAGAGAGAGAGAGAGAGAGAGGATTCATAACCTTAACAATTGACCCTTAACATTAATAATTAACTCGTAACCTTAACAATTAACCTGTAAGTTTAACAATCTCCCAATACAAACAATGAAAATAATAAAAAACGAAAATAGTAAAATAATATTCATCAATTATTTTAACTATCATCTCAGTATATCATGATAAAGAGAGAGAGAGAGAAAACGAAAATAATAAAATAATCCTCATCATATTTTAATAAAAGAAGAAAGAGAGATAAGAGTATTATGGTCTTCACATATTTTAATCTCTTGGGTTTTGTGTTTTGGGGGCTCAGAGAACAGAATCTTTATTTTTGGGGGTAAAACACTCATTGACAAAGTCTTAGGGGTGGGAAGCACTTTTTCTTAGCTTTTGGGGGCTGGAAGCATTTTTCCCAATAAATACAAACTGAACAAACCGGTCCATTTTCATTGTCCCTCTTAGTTTTTCCAATGCATGAGATTGTATGATGCAGTGATATTTCATGTAGTCATATTAAAAAAACAAGACGAATTCAAATGCGCACCTTAAATTGTTGGGAAAAATGTGTTCAGGCCCTAAAAACAGAAACTTTATTTGCTGCAGCCCCTCCTAGTTTCCCCCATGTGGTTCAGCCCCTTGAAGTGTGACATTTTGTGCTGCAGCCCCTTTTTAACAATTATTACATCCCAGCTAAGCTAAAATCCTCAAAATAACATTATCCCCTCTCCTCAATCCTTCAAACCCAGTTCTCTCTCTCTCTCTCTCTCTCTCTCTGGAGGATGACCAAGAGAAAAGAGTGCATGATGCCTAAGAAAAGTGAAAATGAAGGGGCTGCAGGCACAAGACCACTCTTTTTTTTTTTAGAATTTGATGAGAAGCCACTACTTGTTAAGGAGATTGTTAGTCAAGATGGCGAAGAGATGCCTGTTGGGTTTGAAATTTTAAGAGCTGATCTTGGTGCTGGAGCTGAGGAAGGAGATGACGAAGTTTTTTTTGATAAATTTGATGTTGGTATTCTTATCTTTACTTGGATTTTGTCATGGAGTATTCTCCCTGAAGAAATGTTGAATGCCTTAACTTGTAGGAATTTGATGCTAAAATTTGATGTTGGTATTCTTATCTTCGCTTGGATT